TAGAATCATTTCTAATTTTCTCAAATGTGTATTCAATGGCCCCAATGCAATCATAAATTCTTGTTGCCCTAGGAGGAGGATGCTGATGGTGGTGACATTTTCTTTGACCGGAGCAAAGTAGAAGACGATGGCAGTGAGTATGGCAATACATTATTGTTTTTTCAACCATGTTGAAGGTTTTAAATATGTTTTTTCAGCTGCAGGTACTGGTTGATCATGGCTTGAACTGAAGTTACTTCCTTAGGCTTGTAAAGTTATTATCAATTCCTCTGGCTGCAATTACTCAGATGACTTTGGAAATCAAAGTTTACCTTCTTCTCCATAAAGAAATGACTGGGTAACTCTTAACTTTGATTTGATTCTCATAATTGAAGCAATGCTTGTCAAATGTGGGACTTCATAATTAATGTTTAATTGACAAGTCTCCCTCTATCATTTTTCTTATACAAGAAATTAATGTTCTTTTAATATATATAGATTGATTGATGTGAAACGTAGAAAGTGGTGGGAAGTAGAGCAGGTATGACATGACTCGGTTATGGGGGGAAAATATCAACCATAGAAGATAGCCCCAAGTATACGCATTGAACTAAAGCGTGGAAAATGCAAATCATAGCCAGTAGCCACATGACTCGGTTATGGGGAAAAATATCAACCATAGAAGCTAGCCCCGAGTATACGCATTGAACTAAAGCGTGGAAAATGCAAATCATAGCCAGTAGCCACATGACTTTGAAAGAAAACTTGGACCCATTGACGGAGATAGAATAGGATAATATCAGAGTTTGAGAACTATTATTTCTTGTTGATGAACAAAGCCTTCTCAAATACAAATCAATCTCAAATCTATAACACCAAAATTTTCCTTCTCATAATTCATCATGTCATTCTTACCTTCAACTTTATCATGTATTTCTAGAAAGAAATACGATGTTTTCTTGAGTTTTAGAGGTGAAGATACCCGAAAAAACTTCACAGATCATCTCTATGATGCTCTAAATCGAAGTGGAATTATCACTTTCAGGGATGATTCAAAGATGGATGCCGGTGAAGAGATCGCACCACAACTCTTCCGAGCCATTCAACAATCGTGGTGCTCGGTAATTGTTTTTTCAAGAACCTATGCCTTTTCAAGTTGGTGCTTGGAGGAGCTTGCTGAGATTGTAAAACAAAAAAACGAGAAAGGACATAAAGTGTTTCCAATTTTCTACGATGTGAATCCATCTGATTTAAGAAAACAGAAAGAAAAAGTTGAAGAAGCATTTGCCAAACATGCAGAGAGATACAAGGAAGATAAAGAAAAGATTCTAAGGTGGCGAAATGCTTTGACTCAAGTGGCTAACATCAAAGGATGGCATTTAAATGACAGGTAAACCATTCTTTTCTTTCCTGTTTTCTTGTTTAATTAATTTAATAATTATAAAAATGAACTGAATTTTATTTCTTTGTAGGCATGAATCAGAGTTTATCGGAGATATTGTTAGAAAAATATCAGCAAAATTATGTCAGACATATCCAATTGTTCATGATGAGTTGGTTTGAATTAGTTCACGCTTGGGGGAGTTGCATTCCAAAATAGAGATTGGGGAAGATGACATCCGCATCATAGGAATTTGCGGAATGGGTGGCATCGGTAAAACATGTAACCCCCTATACCCGACCTATGCGTTTCGACTAAGTCTAGTGGATCACATTATAATTATTAAAGACATTTTTCGCAACCGTTATTCCATCAATATAAAATCACATTATAAAAACATGAAATTATAAACAATTTATACTATCAAAATCCAACTCGTAAATATAGTACAAATAAATAATAATTTAATTTAAAACATGTCTTCAAATTCAAAATCACAATAAACCGAGCAGTAGTAGCAAAAGTGTTATCATTATAAAATCCGATATTTTAAAATAAGGTCCATGTCACCAAAATAAAGTAAACTTGCCAGATAAAAACATTACAATCTGATTTACTTCAAGAGATATGTTGATCCTCCAAGTGCTCGAACCAAGGTATCTACCCAACAGTATCTGAAAGGGGAAAACATTTTCAAAAGGTGAGCTAGGCTCAGTGTGTCCCAACATTTCCATAAAATCACAATAGGTACAAATCATAGTCCAGTAATCTCACAAATTCGTAAAAGAGTTTAACTTTTTGAAAATCATAGTTTAAACCCTTTTCTGGTACACCATCAGTAGTTCCCAAAATTATTTTCCATATAGCTTACTTTATGCACATAGCAAAAAGAAAGCCGACTTAAGGATAGGCTCTGAAGCTTGTATCCTTAAGCCCAAGTCAATAAGTCCATACAGCTTACCCTAAGCACACAGCAAAGGAAAGCCGACCTAATGAAACATCTTGGGGCCCTCAAGAGTCACATTAGGCCCAGTTAGCTTGATCAGAGCTATTCCATCGTATTTCAATTCAAAAATTCAATTGCACCGTGACATAAACTCCATAAATCCAAAAACATGGTAATCATATACCATTTCAAAACAAAAATTAGATAGCAGCCGTATTCCATAAATTGTCACATTAAATTGGTGCATCCATAAAACAATAGCCAATGAATTCGGTGTACCACGTATTAAAACCAATAAAACAGTTCAATAACAAGTAGGGAACACACCTCGACAATAGATTCAAATAACAAATCTACTGATTGCTGGTTTCACCACGCTCTGCTACAGTTTTCGAACGGGTGAATACTGGCACACGTGGTTTAACTGATCTAGAAGAGCTGGGTCGAGCTGTCGAACGATCCGGAGAGTCTCTTGTACCTTCAAACAATAATATTTATCAGTCTCAAATCCTATTTAATTGTTCAAAGCTAAACTTCTTAAGTATATACGCATTTTTCGGGTTTGACTATCAATTTGAGGTATTTCGAGTCTGACTTTGGCCAAACGGATTACGGAATCGGAATCAGGGCGTCGAAAAACATAAAGTATGACTTTTCGAAAATTCAAATTCTTGGTCAAAGTCAAAGTCAACCACTTTGACCGTAGATTTGGAGACCTTCGGATTCGAATTTGACAAAACGGACCACGGAAACAGATTCGGCACGTCGAAAACTATCAGGATAGGTATACTCGGAAAAGATTAACGGTCGTTTAATGCTCGGTCAAAGCCATTTTAAGTTTTGGTCAAAGAAAGTCAACGGTCAACGGTCAACGGTCAACGGTCGGGTCGGGTCGGGTCAACGGTCGGGTCGGGTCAGACCGGTCAAACCGGTTCAGACCGGTCAAACCGGTTCGAACCGGTTGAAACCGGTCAAACCGGTCAGAACCGGTTGAAAACCGGTTAAACCGGTTTCCAGCAGCCACTCGCCCTGCGGCGGTTCAAATTTTTGAACGGCGGAGAGCTCGATTTCAAATCGGCCGAATCTTTGACTGCACCACCTCCTCACGCGCCGCCGTCTACGGCGGACAAGATTGACACCGGTGAACTCGGAACGGCACAAGGAACACGATGGTGCGGGAGGTGTCGTAAACAGAGCAACGATCAGCGGTGAATTTAAGATTTTCTCGGCGATAGAGCTAACAAAACCGTCGCTACTTTGACTGGAAATTCCCGACGTTTGGCCGCGTTTCGCTTCAATTAATTTGAAGGTTTTGCTCCTCGCTCGATGATGAACACAACGGTGGTTTCAAAACAACGATCGGAATTCGGACGGCGTCGGAATCGAGTTTGGAAGTTGTGTGCGTGAGGAAGAATTTCACAATTGTTTTCTGTTTTGAAAACAAAAAACCATTCATACGTTTATATGAAATTTTCTGCCGACACTAAAAGGAGTAATGCAGGGCTTGGTCCCTGAATTTCCTTTAACTTCTAAAATGGCCTACAATTTTGAAAACTTTCGATTTAAATCCTCAAATTTTGCCAAATTACTTAATTAAATTTTTTTTTCTCTAAATTTTATTCCGGGTTGTTACAATTCTCCCCCTCTACAAGAAATTTCGTCCTCGAAATTTACCTTATGAGAATAGTTGAGGAAACTGAGCCTCCATTGACTCCAATGTCTCCCAAGTAGCTTCTGAGGGGCCTCGATTACTCCACTGAACTTTGACCATTGGAATTCGCCTATTCCGAAGAACTCGTTCATCTCTCTCCAAGATCTGAATGGGCTCCTCTTCATATGACAAATCAGGTCTCAGCTCTACTTCTTCAACCTGAATAATGTGACCTGGATCTGGACGGTATCTCCTCAACATTGATACATGAAAGACATCATGAATACGACTTAGCTTAGAAGGCAACTCAAGCTGATATGCAACAGGTCCTACCCTCTTCAAGATACGAAATGGTCCAATAAATCTTGGACTTAATTTACCCTTACGCCCGAATCTTAATACTTTCTTCCAGGGTGAAACTTTCAAAAAGACCCGATCTCCCACTTCAAACTGTATATCCTTCCTTCTTTGATCTGCATAAGATTTCTGCCTATCAAATGCCTCTTTCAGACGGTCACGGATTAATCTGACTGTGTCCTCTGTCTCTCGTACTAACTCAGGTCCCAACGTTTTCCTATCACGCAACTCAGTCCAACAGATCGGAGTGCGACATTTACGCCCATAGAGTGCTTCATAGGGTGCCATACGAATACTGGTCTGATAACTGTTATTGTAAGCAACTTCAGCAAACGGAAAAAAGTTCTCCCAACTACCATGAAAATCGATTACGCAACCCCGCAACATATCCTCCAGAATCTGAATTACTCTCTCAGATTGACCATCAGTTTGTGGATGAAAGGATGTACTATAATCCAATCTTGTTCCCAAAGCCGTATGTAACGCCTTCCAAAATCTCGAAGTAAATCTCGGATCTCGATCAGAAATAATAGACAATGGAACACCATGCAATCTGACAATCTCTGAAATATACAATCTTGCCAGCTTATCCAAAGTATAATTTACTCGCACAGGAATGAAGTGAGCTGACTTTGTAAGTCTGTCAACAATCACCCAAACTGAATCTTTTTTCAAAGGAGTCATAGGCAAGCCAGTAACAAAATCCATAGTAATACGCTCCCATTTCCATTCAGGAATCTTGATAGGCTGTAACAAACCTGATGGATGTTGATGTTCTGCCTTAACTTGCTGACAAGTCAAACACCTAGCCACAAAGTCAGATATGTCTTTCTTCATACCAGTCCAATAATACCTCTCTCTCAAATTCCGGTACATCTTATCTCCTCCGGGGTGCATAGCATATGGACTACTATGAGCCTCAGTAAGGATAGTCTGCCTCAATTCAGCGTCATCAGGCACACAATATCTACCTTTAAAGCATAAAACTTCATCCTGATCAATTGCGTAATCTGTGTTTGTCCCCTGCTCTACTTGCTCAAAGATGGAAAGCAAGGAGCTATCAAGGGGCTGCTTAGCTTTGATCTCATCAACCAAGGTCGGCTTAACTTGCAATTCTGCTAACAAAGTGCCATCGTCATATAAATTCATCTTAGCCATTAAAGACCTCAACTCCAATACCGTCTTTCGACTCAAAGCATCTGCTACAATGTTAGCTTTACCAGGGTGGTAATCAATCACGCAATCATAATCCTTTAGAAGCTCTAACCAGCGACGCTGTCTCAAATTAAGTTCCTTCTGGGTCAGAAGATACTTTAAGCTCTTATGATCTGTGAAAATGTAACACTTCTCTCCATAAAGATAGTGTCTCCAAATCTTCAAGGCAAAAATTACTGCTGCCAACTCTAAATCGTGAGTAGGATAATTACTCTCATGCGGCCGCAGCTGACGGGATGCATAAGCCACCACCTTACTTTCCTGCATTAAAACACAACCAAGTCCTGAATGTGAAGCATCACTATACACTGTAAAATCCTTCCCGGACTCCGGTTGAATCAACACCGGTGCTTGAGTCAAAACCGCCTTTAATTTCTCAAAGCTCTCCTGTTGTGCCTCGCCCCAGTCAAACAACACATTCTTCCTTAACAACTTTGTCAAAGGAGAAGCAATGATCGAGAAGCCCTCAACAAAACGTCGATAATAACCAGCCAAGCCCAAGAAACTGCGGATTTCAGATACGTTCTTAGGTCGTTTCCAATTCATAATAGCCTCTATCTTGCTGGGATCAACCTGAACACCTCGCGCAGAAATAATATGCCCCAAAAATGACACTTCTTGAAGCCAAAACTCACACTTGCTTAGTTTGGCATATAGACGATGCTCTCTCAAAGTCCGCAGAACGATCTTCAAATGCTCGTCATGCTCTGCCTCAGTACGAGAATATATCAGAATATCGTCAATGAAGACCACCACAAATTGATCCAAATATGGTCGGAACACCCGATTCATCAAATCCATAAAAGCTGCAGGAGCGTTCGTCAAACCAAAAGGCATCACTAAAAATTCATAATGACCATATCTAGTGCGAATGGCCGTTTTTGCAACATCAGATCCTTTAACTTTCAATTGATAATACCCCGAACGAAGATCAATCTTAGAGAATACAGTAGCTCCTCGCAATTGATCAAATAAGTCATCAATCCTGGGTAATGGGTATTTATTCTTGACCGTCATCTTGTTCAATTTCCGATAGTCAATACATAATCTTAGCGACCCATCCTTCTTTTTCACGAATAGAACTGGAGCTCCCCATGGTGAAGTACTATGTCGGATAAATCCTCGATCGAATAATTCTTGCAATTGGACTTTCAACTCCTTAAGTTCCTTTGGAGCCATACGATAAGGTGCCATAGAAATAGGTGAAGATCCTGGATAAGTCTCAATCTCGAACTCTACCTCTCTATCAGGAGGTAACCCAGGCAACTCCTCCGGAAAAACATCAGGAAACTCGCTAACTGTACGAATCTTCTCGATCGTGGACAATGCACCTTTGGTGTTCAAAATACAAGCAATGAAGGTCTCATATCCCTTCCGGATCATACGATCAATTTCCATCGCTGAAACTATGTTGGAGAGATAACCACGTCGTTCACAAATTAACACAACAGTCCGACCATCTGAAGTCTTCAGAGTAGCCCGCTTGTATTCGCAATCCAGCTTTACCTTGTGTTTATTCAACCAATCCATTCCAAGAATTAGATCGAACTCCTCTAAAGGAAGCTCCATAAGATCAGCGAGAAAAATTTCTCCCTGAACCTCGAGAGGACAACGCCGGAATACTTTATTCACTAATACCGCTTGTCCTACTGGACTTGTAACTGTAACAGTATTTTCAGTGTTCTCGATCGGAATCTGAAGGTTTCGAGATACTGAGCTCGATACATAGGAGTGAGTGGAACCATTGTCCAATAATGCAAAGTATGGGGTAGAATAAATAGTAAATGTACCTGCAATAACCTCAGGCTCATCTCTGTCATCACGACGTCTAGTTGCATAAACCAAAGCTGGCTGTCTAGCCTCAGAAGCTGTTGGCCCTCTATTTTGCTGAGGTCGGGCTCTACTGTCTGTCCTGGACGCTGATCCTCGAGTCTTTCCTTGACTACGATCTCTAATTGGGGTCTGTACTGTAGTCTGCGAACGCACAGGAGTTTGGGTAGTGGTCTGCTCAAACGAAACTAACTGAGGACAATCCCTCCGATAATGACCACTAGATCCACACTGATAGCAAAGACCCATCTTCTTACGACACTCTCCTGAGTGTTGTTTACCACAATACTCACAAAGGGGCCCATTATAATACGACGAGGAACCGCCTCGACTGACAGCTAAAGGTGAAGATGCTGCAGGCCTGAAACGTGTATTGCTTCTCTGAGGGGCTGAAGTACGAGTCCTCTTTCCGGACTGTGCTGATGACTCCATCGGGCCTGAAAATTTCTTAGATCGATCTTGATCAACACGCTCTCTACCAGAAGCTAAAAACTCCACCTCTTCCGCATATTTGGCTCTGCCCACCAGCACATCAAATATCTCATCCTGATGGGTTACAACTTGCCTACGCAGCTCGTATCTGAGTCCAAGGGCAAATTTACGACATCGATCTCTCTCTGTAGGTACCATACTGAATCCATACTTCAGCAATTTCAGGAACTCGATCTCATATTCAGAAACAGTCATGTCTCCCTGAACCAGGTCTTGAAACTGTTGTCGTCTCTGAGCTAAGTAGCGCTCTCCCAGAAAACGGCTCCGAAAGCGATCCTTAAAGAAATTCCAGGTCAAACGATCGGTAGGAACACTACTGGTCACTGACTCCCACCAAGTGTAGGCATTGCCATCTAACATCGCCACAGCACCATGATATCTCTTAATTGAGTCCAAACCCAACTGATCCATGCGTCTCTCTGTATCCTGGAACCAATCCTCAGCTTCAGTAGGAGCTCCACCTATCTGTCCCCCAAAAGTTCTAACTCCATTGGCAATCAAAGTCTGCGAAATAGGAACCTCAGATACAACACCAGTAGCTCTGACTGCTCCCTGTATTAACTGCAGAAATTGTCTACCAAAATTCTCATCCAAAGCAACTCCGGTAGACTCTAACTCAATATCGGTCGCTCCTATTATCGGTGTAGTCATGCCAATACCAGCGGCAGGAGGCAGATCCGTTGGGGTCGTAGGCGCATGATCACCTATCGGAGGTGGGGGATCTACCCGTATCTCATCGATCGGATCTGCGAATCTAGCCACTCGACCTCGTCCACGGCTAGTTCGACGACTACGTCTAGCACTCATTTTGATGGATCTCAAGTTTACTACAGAAGATAAAACTTAGGGTTAGATAAGCACTTGGAGTCTCAAACATAGTTAAAATCTTAATAACTTTGTGACATGGCCTTAGTAACTCGTTTTGTAAAATATTTCAAAACCGTATTTTCAATGTGGACTCATACACAGTCCGAGGTTTAAAAACCAAAAGCTCTGATACCAATAAATGTAACCCCCTATACCCGGCCTATGCGTTTCGACTAAGTCTAGTGGATCACATTATAATTATTAAAGACATTTTTCGCAACCGTTATTCCATCAATATAAAATCACATTATAAAAACATGAAATTATAAACAATTTATACTATCAAAATCCAACTCGTAAATATAGTACAAATAAATAATAATTTAATTTAAAACATGTCTTCAAATTCAAAATCACAATAAACCGAGCAGTAGTAGCAAAAGTGTTATCATTATAAAATCCGATATTTTAAAATAAGGTCCATGTCACCAAAATAAAGTAAACTTGCCAGATAAAAACATTACAATCTGATTTACTTCAAGAGATATGTTGATCCTCCAAGTGCTCGAACCAAGGTATCTACCCAACAGTATCTGAAAGGGGAAAACATTTTCAAAAGGTGAGCTAGGCTCAGTGTGTCCCAACATTTCCATAAAATCACAATAGGTACAAATCATAGTCCAGTAATCTCACAAATTCGTAAAAGAGTTTAACTTTTTGAAAATCATAGTTTAAACCCTTTTCTGGTACACCATCAGTAGTTCCCAAAATTATTTTCCATATAGCTTACTTTATGCACATAGCAAAAAGAAAGCCGACTTAAGGATAGGCTCTGAAGCTTGTATCCTTAAGCCCAAGTCAATAAGTCCATACAGCTTACCCTAAGCACACAGCAAAGGAAAGCCGACCTAATGAAACATCTTGGGGCCCTCAAGAGTCACATTAGGCCCAGTTAGCTTGATCAGAGCTATTCCATCGTATTTCAATTCAAAAATTCAATTGCACCGTGACATAAACTCCATAAATCCAAAAACATGGTAATCATATACCATTTCAAAACAAAAATTAGATAGCAGCCATATTCCATAAATTGTCACATTAAATTGGTGCATCCATAAAACAATAGCCAATGAATTCGGTGTACCACGTATTAAAACCAATAAAACAGTTCAATAACAAGTAGGGAACACACCTCGACAATAGATTCAAATAACAAATCTACTGATTGCTGGTTTCACCACGCTCTGCTACAGTTTTCGAACGGGTGAATACTGGCACACGTGGTTTAACTGATCTAGAAGAGCTGGGTCGAGCTGTCGAACGATCCGGAGAGTCTCTTGTACCTTCAAACAATAATATTTATCAGTCTCAAATCCTATTTAATTGTTCAAAGCTAAACTTCTTAAGTATATACGCATTTTTCAGGTTTGACTATCAATTTGAGGTATTTCGAGTCTGACTTTGGCCAAATGGATTACGGAATCGGAATCAGGGCGTCGAAAAACATAAAGTATGACTTTTCGAAAATTCAAATTCTTGGTCAAAGTCAAAGTCAACCACTTTGACCGTAGATTTGGAGACCTTCGGATTCGAATTTGACAAAACGGACCACGGAAACAGATTCGGCACGTCGAAAACTATCAGGATAGGTATACTCGGAAAAGATTAACGGTCGTTTAATGCTCGGTCAAAGCCATTTTAAGTTTTGGTCAAAGAAAGTCAACGGTCAACGGTCAACGGTCAACGGTCGGGTCAGGTCGGGTCAACGGTCGGGTCGGGTCGGGTCAACGGTCGGGTCGGGTCAGACCGGTCAAACCGGTTCAGACCGGTCAAACCGGTTCGAACCGGTTGAAACCGGTCAAACCGGTCAGAACCGGTTGAAAACCGGTTAAACCGGTTTCCAGCAGCCACTCGCCCTGCGGCGGTTCAAATTTTTGAACGGCGGAGAGCTCGATTTCAAATCGGCCGAATCTTTGACTGCACCACCTCCTCACGCGCCGCCGTCTACGGCGGACAAGATTGACACCGGTGAACTCGGAACGGCACAAGGAACACGATGGTGCGGGAGGTGTCGTAAACAGAGCAACGATCAGCGGTGAATTTAAGATTTTCTCGGCGATAGAGCTAACAAAACCATCGCTACTTTGACTGGAAATTCCCGACGTTTGGCCGGGTTTCGCTTCAATTAATTTGAAGGTTTTGCTCCTCGCTCGATGATGAACACAACGGTGGTTTCAAAACAACGATCGGAATTCGGACGGCGTCGGAATCGAGTTTGGAAGTTGTGTGCGTGAGGAAGAATTTCACAATTGTTTTCTGTTTTGAAAACAAAAAACCATTCATACGTTTATATGAAATTTTCTGCCGACACTAAAAGGAGTAATGCAGGGCTTGGTCCCTGAATTTCCTTTAACTTCTAAAATGGCCTACAATTTTGAAAACTTTCGATTTAAATCCTCAAATTTTGCCAAATTACTTAATTAAATTTTTTTTTCTCTAAATTTTATTCCGGGTTGTTACAAAACAACTCTCGCAAGAGTTGTACACGACCAAATGTCATCTCATTTTGAAGGTAAATGCTTCATTGCTGATGTTCGAGAAGTTTCAGACAAATTTGGACTCGTTTCTCTACAGAAACAACTTCTTTTCCAGATCTTGTCTGGTGAAGTCTTCGAATTTTTCAATGTTCATGAAGGGATTGCCATAATTAGCCGCAGATTATCTAACAAAAAGGTCCTTGTTGTGATTGATGATGTGGATAATTTACAGCACTTGAAATGCTTGGTTGGAAGGCATGATTGGTTCGGTTTAGGGAGTAGAATCATTATAACAACAAGAGATGAACACTTGCTCCAATCTTACCGAGTTGATGATGTGTATAAGCCTTCAACATTGAATGACAGCGAGGCACTTCAACTTTTCAGTTTGAAAGCTTTTGATAGTGAGACAGCACCAAATGATGTTTTCATCGAGCTTTCTGAACATGTTGCAAAATATGCCAGTGGTCTCCCCTTAGCTCTTGAAGTCTTGGGTTGTTTTTTGTGCGGTAGAGATGTAGCTCAATGGAGAGGTGCAATCCAAAGACTTGAAAAGGATTCTAATAAAGAGATTATTGACAGACTTCGAATTAGCTTTGATGGATTGGAAGAAACGGAGAAGAACATATTTCTAGATATAGCATGCTTCTTCAATGGGGACGAGAAAGATTTTGTACTGAAAGTATTGGATGGCTGTGAGTTTTTCCCGGATATCGGAATCGATGTTCTCATTAAGAAGTCTCTACTAACAGTTGACGAAAACAACAAATTGTGGATGCATAACTTACTACAAGAAATGGGAAGAAGAATTGTTCGGGAAAAATCTATTGAGGAGCCTGGAAAACGTTGTAGATTGTGGGAGGAAAAGGATGTATATCATGTGCTAACGAAGAACACTGTAAGTCATTCCATGGAAATTGCATATTATATTAATGTTAAAGACAGAAATGATACACACAATGTAATTTTTCACAAGTTTTATCACAGAAATTGCCTCATTTTATTGTGTTTCTTATGTCTTACTTTTGAATGTGTAATTTTTTTGAAAGTTTGTTTTCATGTATTTTGAAAATCCTTGAAGAATCCTCACTTTCTATCTCCAATTCGGGGACTTTAGAGCAAGTTCCGACCAAATAGAGCAAGTTTCTTATGGGATATGTTCTTCAAACTGTGTCCATGCTCAATTTTTTGGAAGTTTGTTTTCATGTATTTTGAAAATCCTTGAAGAATCATCTCTATGTTTCTATTCAGCAGCCTTGCTTTTAGGTATGGAATGCTTTGGGATATTTTCAAATTTGAACTGAATTTTCGTTGTTTTACCCTTGGTTATCAGGATATCCAACAACATGCTCAATTTGAATGTTAATGCTGTCTCGAAGATGAAAAAATTGAGATTGCTCAAAGTCCTTTGCCTCTCAAATTGTGATGAACTCAAATATCTTCCTAATGAGTTACGGCTCTTAGATTGGATGGGATATCCTTTAAGATTCTTACCTCCAAGCTTCCAACCAGACAACCTGGTTGCACTTCTTCTACCATACAGTCGCATTGAACAACTATGGAGGGGAAATATAGTAAGAATTAATTCATATGATCATTGTTTTTTAACTTATTTTAGGAATATTAACTAAATCTTCTCTAATTTATTATTATTTTCAGCAGCCCCTGTATAAGTTGAAAGTGCTCAACCTCAAAGGGTCCGAAAACCTGATCAAGACACCGGACTTTACAACAGCCCCAAATCTGGAAACTTTAGTATTGGAGGGTTGTACAAGATTAGTAGATGTTCATCCATCAGTCGGAGTTCTTTCGAGGCTTAAACTTTTGAATTTAAGAAGCTGCACAAGTCTTAGGAATCTTCCAACCAAAATTGGAATAGAATCTCTTGAAACATTAATCCTAAAAGATTGTAGAAACCTCATTAGTCTCCCAAGCAGCATAGGTGGGTGTAAATGTCTAAGAACTCTTGATCTTTCAGGTTGCTATAAAGTTGCAAATTTGCCGGAGAATTTGCAGCAAGTAGAGTTGTTGGAAGAGCTTGACTTAAGTGAAACAGCCATAGCAAAACCGCCATCCTTCATTTTTCAACTTAAAAATCTTAAAGTTTTGTCTTTGAATAGGCTCAAGACACCATCATCTAAGTTAGCACCAATTCTACCTTCTCTTTTCGAGGTATTCCAAAGAGGACGGATCGAGTCTGTGCCTCTTATGTTACATTCATTGTCAGGTTTGATTTCATTAAGAGAGCTGAAACTAAGGAACTGCAATCTTCGTGATGGAGATATTCCAAGTGATATTTATTGTTTACACTATTTGGAAAAGCTTGAGCTTGGTAGTAATAATTTCTTCAGCATACCTGTGTCTGGTAATAGATTTCCCAGTCTTCAATATCTTGGATTGTCAAATTGCAGGGAGCTTAAATCTATTCCTAGTCTTGCAACTCCATCAAAGTATTGCAATGCACTGGAACGGTTTAATGGTCTTCACTGCTACAAATTATTTGAGAATACCAATATATTAACAGTGCTGAAATTCTATCTTAAGGTCGATTTATCATTCTTTGTATTTACAGAATCTCATTCTTGAAGAATTACAGTATTAGCTACCAAACAACATTTTATTTTGCAGGTAGTTTCATGTTTAAGAAAAAGTATTGATTTTGTTATGCCCGGAGGTGAAATCCCAAAATGGTTCAGCCATCAAACAGTTGGCTCTTCAATCAAGACACCACTGCCTAACAATATTCAGAATGATAGTCAATGGATGGGAGTTGCTTTCTGCTGCATTTTTGTCAACGATGATGCTTCAAGGGATGAGGAACTCACATGTGATGCTGTTATCCATCATAGGAATTCTGGACAAGCTGATTCTGATGGATCTGGTTTTCGGGGTAGAAATCCTCGACGTGTCTCTGTGGACGGCTGGATTTTTTCTAAAGAATATAACCAGCCCATAATAAAGGACCACCTTTATTGTTGTTTTTTGTTCCGTGACAGATTATATCCATTTTCCTTAGAGGATAAATGTGGTGAAAGTGAAACCGAGAATTCATCAACATTGGATTGCTCAAATCAGGAATTCGATGAACTCCAGTTTTCAGTCATATCCGATGATAGTCACATAAGTGTTAAGGTGAAGAAATGTGGGCTTCGAATAGTTTATCAGAAAGATTTGGAAGATATCAATGAAGATTCCGCCGCAGATGGATCAATAGCTGAAGGTCCCCTTATAAAGCGAAGACATAATGTTTATGAAGAGACCGAGGCCGAGCCACAACCAAAAAGGATACACAAGTTTTTCAATTTATGATGGGCCGACCGGGGAAGAGGATTAGTTACTATTTGATTTTATTAAAGACTCACCGACTGAAGATGAGGACAACACATTAAAGACTCCCTCTGAGAAAAGAAAAATGGAGAAGCAGAGGAAGACTGAACGAGCTAAGAAAGTACATCGGCTTGATTTGATTATTTTTGGTAATATCTCTTTGAAGATTTCATTCTAATGTGGCTTAAAAATTTAGGTGGCAGAGGTTGAAAATGTGGATCTTCGAAAGGCACTACTCAGAGCCCTGGAAGAGCTATTTGATCTGCCTTCACAAACAAAAGAGCTCTATGTTTCTAACAAGCCTTTCGTAGCTATTCGGGGGTTGCAATTGGATTATTACATGTATGGTTAAATGGTCGATTGTGTGTCTTATCACTGCATCGTGATGAAGGGAAACAAGGTACGATACATTTGCAAGGTTCCAGAAAAGCTTCTAGATGACCAAAATGGCTTGTTCATGATAAATTCTTGCAGGCTTCATCAAATACGAGTATTCTTGATTCCGACATCATTCGCCCTAGTCCTTCTGGCAGCAGGTGCAACTGAAGTCATGGCAACAACCGGAATCATGGACTTCATTACACTGGCAAATTTCCACGGCCGCCGTTGTTGCTATTTTCTTGTTATTTGATTTGCTCAAATCTCATTTGCATTCTCACCCCCGACGTCCAATTATTATTATAATCTACCATTAACCTTCAAACTCTATAATTGTAAGTGCACCAGAGGAGGACGTTGCGAGTCGTAATTTACTTGAACATGTAATAGGTAGGAACCAAAAGGGTTGAATCCATTGCAAGTGTATTCTCTATCTCGGAAGAATCAATTGTACAAATCAGAATTTTTTTTAATGAAAAATTGAAAAGAAACAAAGCCTAGGAACGCCTAAACTATTGTTCCATCCATCTGGAGGAGAACGAAAGAGTATCATCCAGAACTACAAGTCTTAACCCCAAATCCCAAGCTACTTTGAGGCCTTCCAGAACTCCCAAAGTTCTGCATCCAACACGAATAACTCCACCAGAAGTTGTTAGACATGAAATAGGTCTCTAAGCACCATCTGTATTGATCTTAAATCAACCTGGTGGCAGAGGACTCCAACAAACTGCTCGGTCCATCCTATTTGGACCATTTACCGACGTTAAGAGTATGTCCCGAGCATGACCAGCCTCCACTACTAAGCGACGACTACGCTGCAAAATACTCTCCATCTCTAAAGATTCCGGTGCAAAAATAGAATGGTTTCGTCTCGTCCAAATGCTCCACAGAATGGACCAAAATAGCACATCCCAATCATCTGAGTTCAAAGGAAAATAATCTGGCCACTGAAGATTCAGTTGAATCCAGTCCATGATGTTCATGCTGAAGAACTCAACAAGCCGGTCTGGTTTGATTAATTCCTGCCAAGCAGTATGCGCCACAATACACTCTCTAAAAACATGAGTTAACGATTCCTTTGCTGCACCACAGTAGAGGCAGCTTTCATCATTTGTCATGTGTCTTCCCGTCCGTTCTTCATTTGTCACAATCCGAGCCTTACAAATTAACCAAAGAAGGAGACACTCTTGGTAATCCCTGGAATTTTGCAATTGTTTTCCAAAGTTGATTCCCAGAAGTTCTGATTATTTCCATCCGACAATTGTAGGCGCTAGAGACAGAGAACTGACTATTATTTCCCAAAATCCACCCTGGTTTCCAAAATTCACCAAGCAGCAAGTAGCAGTCTTATCAATATGAAGGCAATATATATATATATACACACAATCAATAACTACCTCCAGTTGTTTTCTTCATCCAACCGGAGATGTTTTAGCAGCGAGAAGAATGAGAGCTCGCCAGTGGTAACTTGTCCGTAGCTTCTTGTACTTCTGCACAAAGGCCCCGATATCTATTTCCCCGTAAAGAAGCTGCCTGTTCACTATTTACGATTCCTCTTCTGTTGCATTCATTGCATCTACAAGGAAGTAAAACCATCTTTAAGTACTCGCATCTAAACCCCAGTAACGTAGGTAATATACTATTAATATGTACCTTGAAGCCTATGCATAAACGATGCAGGGGATGGGAGTAGAACTTCAAAGTTTCTTCTTTCTGTCTCTCGAGCTCGTTTAGTTTTTCCTGAGCTGCCGCCAAGTGGTTCAGAAAATCTCACCTGATTCCTTTGCTCCATTATTTGTGGTTCTTTATCCATATTGTTCCCTGTTTATCCTCAAAGCGTAAGCCTCAAGTTCTGCCACATTGTGAGTGCAAAAGAGCTCTGGTCTGTTTGTGAAAGGGTAACAAACGTTAACACTGCCCCAATTTCTCTTCTCAAAGCATTGACTTTTCCATTAAAACTTCCGGGAGTCGTCACCTGCTTTAATTTCTTCTTCAGTAAAGATGCACAACAAATCCTTATCTAAAACAATTAAAACCCAGGGGCTCATAATCATCTGATGCCCGTTTTGCTAGAGAATCTATTATGGCATTCCTTTTTATTATTCTTTGGCTTACAACGCCAAATTCTAATAACACTTGTTGTCGAGCTATTCTTCTGGTCAATGCTGATAACTGTGTTAAGCACTTCAAAGGATTAAGTTTGGAGATCAATCGAGTAGTATAATATAACATGTACTACCTGAGCATTCAAGTAGTCCACACCAAAGCACCTCATGCCTCCTAGATTGATAGGTATTGGATCTTGCAATCAATGACCTTTTCACTCAGATAATAAAATGGCTCGTCCATTATTCCAGACTCATCATGCAGTCCCATATATCTCAAAGAATTTTCAAAGAATGTCAAATAGGAGATTCATGGTCTATCAGAAACTTGTGCACTACTATATTTGTATTCACTGTCATGTTTTGATAAGATCGAGAAAAGATGTCTTTGGAATCTTGAAGCAACTCTATCGGCTTTTGTCTCATTTCACGTCACAAAGTACTGTCAATCTCGATTTCTTCATCGTGAGATAAGATATGTTTGTCCTTTTTTACCAGCCTCAATAGTTTGTAAACATCACATTCTACCTCATTTTTGCACTCACATATTTCTTCTAAAAACAACCGCTCAAAATTTATCTAATGATTAAAGTTAAAAAACATTCATGTTATTAATGATTAGGAAACCTGCAAAGAAAATGTGGAACGAATATATACATTTGTAAGAGTAATAAACATTTGTATGGAATGAATGAAATAATAATAAAATATCAAAAATGAAATAAAAGAATATAATAAATGATAAAGAATATGAAAATGTATAAAATGATTGCCACTTGAGAAATAAAGGAAAGCATCTTCACAAAAGATTCCTTAATGCTCGAGGGCAAAGACATAAGGGTTAATTTCGACTATTACTCTAAATTTCATCTAAAAACTACAAGGAGTTCCTTTGTAGTCCACTTGTTCAGTTCTTCTTCAGGGAAACATGGCCAGATTTTAGTGCCATTTTTCCAACCCAAGCATTCAGTCATCTTGCTGACATGCAACTCTTGATCTTTCATCCTCTTCTTCATCAGCTGCTTCCACCAAATGTGGTTCAACATTAACCTTTCCAAACTGGAAAGTGTTTTTTATATGCCTCAAAACACTGACATCTCTCTCTTCTTCTTGCTTGTTTAGCTCTTTCTTCACTCTTGGGATTGGGTAACTCTTAACTTTGATTTGATGCTCATAATTTAAACAATAATTGTCAAATGTGGGGCTCCATAATTGTGACCCTGCTGAGATTATCCTCCGTAGAATCCAACTTTTACTTTGACAAAGTCCAAGTAAACACATCTGCCATGTGCAACAGCCAACAGATGACTGACCATTGAAGTTCATATCATTTCTGTTTTGAACAATCTGTTGCCAATGGATCATTGGTTTCATTTTCACAACATTTATCCTCAACTAAAATGGATATAAATGTCAATGGTGGGGCTCCATAATTGTGACCCTGCTGAGAGTATCCTCCGTACAATCCAGACTTCATTGAAAAGTCTCCTCTATCATTTTCTTATGCAAGAAATTAATGTTTTCTGAATATATAGGTTGAATAGGGTAATGTCAAAGTTGGGCAACTGTTTATTTTCAACTCTACCTCTAGTTGATGTACAAAGCCTTCTCAAGTACAATATTTATTCCTCAGTCCTCACTCTTTGGTATCATTAACATGGCTTATTTCCTCTCACTTCTCTCAACTCTCTTCTTCCTCATAGTGTCACCTTCTTCTTCACAACCCATCTAGTTCTTCTTCCCCAGATTCAAACACTTAAATGACCCCAACAACTTAACATTAACAGGGGTGTCACAGATTGAACAAAATGGCATTTTACGCGTAACTAATTACACCCCTCGTTTAGTGGGTAAATCAAGAACACAGAAGTAGTTGAAGATTGGAGCTGGAGATTGACGAGGCGGATTCGGTCGTGTTTACAAAGGAACAGTTGGAAATTCAAACACTCAAGTTGCTGTCAAGCAAGTTTCCCATGAATCAAAGCAAGGTTTACGTGAATTTGTTGCAGAAATTTCTAGTATCAGAAGGCTTCGACATCGGAATTTGGTTCAGCTATTGGGATGGTGCAGGAGAAGAGGCGACCTTCTTCTTGTTTACAATTTCATGGCTAATGGCAGTTTAGATAAGTTTTTGTTTGATGACCCTAGCTATAACTATCCTGAATTGGGACCAAAGATTTAGGATCATAAAGGGTGTGGCTTCTGGTCTTCTCTATTTACACGAAGGATATGAACAAATTGCGATTCATAGGGATGTTAAGGCCAGTAATGTATTATTAGATGATGAGCTGAATGCACGGTTAGGAGATTTCAGCCTTGCAAGATTGTACGAACATGGTTAAAATCCAGGGACAAGTCAAATTGTAGGGACAATGGGATATATAGCACCGGATCTGCCCAAGACAGGAAAGGCCACAACAAGGTCCGATTCCTATGCTTTTGGTGCACTCTTGCTCGAGGTTGCTTGTGGGCGCAGGCCTATTGATCTCAAAGCATTGCCCAATGAATTAGTGTTGGTTGATTGGAAATGATGAAGGTGAGGTGATGATGGTGCTTAAGTTGGGCCTAATTTGTTCAAATGACGTGCCTGCGGCACGGCCAAGCATGAGGAAGTTAGTAAGGTATCTTGATGGAGAGGTTGACATACCAGAAAATTCGACGCCACCAGCTGCATTTCATGGGGGCGCAGAGGGATTTGACGCCTTTGTGCTTTTGTTCTCGTCCTCATCCTCATCCCCGTCATTGGATAATATGATTTCATATCCATTCTTGGAAAATGGTAATGCCGGTAGTAGCTAGCTTCGCTTCTATTTCAAGCTCTCCACTTCCTGAGGACAAACTATATACTGTATTGTGTTTGAGACTTTGAGCTTGTATTATATGCAAAACTGTGCAAAAACCTAAACAAAGGGAATAAAAGAAAGCGATTTCTCTCACGAGCATGATGTTTCAATGATATTTTTTCTGATCCAATATTTTTGGCCAAATATATTCAATCATAATTCAAAGAAAAATATAAATTCAATTAAAATCAAATCATTAGAATCATTTCTAATTTTCTCAAATGTGTATTCAATGGCCCCAATGCAATCATAAGTTCTTGTTGCCCTAGGAGGAGGAGTATGCTGATGGTGGTGACATTTTCTTTGACCGGAGCAAAGTTGAAGACGATCTCAGTGAGTATGGCAATACATTAATGTTTTTCAATCTACAATACTACAATTCCGGGAAGAACCACAAATCGAATCATTAATCTGATATCAAAGGTGAAGCTAATTAGATTTGCTTTGCTTTTTCTGTTTTGTAATTCACCAGCATTGTATTATTAGGGAAACCACGGTAGATGCTGGGCATCTTTCTTTTATGATTTCTACACAGTGAGTTGTGAAGTAGCTTGAACTGAAGTTACTTCCTTAGGCTTGTAAAGTTATTATCAATTCCTCTGGCTGCAATTACTCAGATGACTTTGGAAATCAAAGTTTACCTTCTTCTCCATAAAGAAATGACTGGGTAACTCTTAACTTTGATTTGATTCTCATAATTGAAGCAATGCTTGTCAAATGTGGGACCTCATAATTAATGTTTAGTTGACAAGTCTCCCTCTATCATTTTTCTTATACAAGAAATTAATGTTCTCTTAATATTTATAGATTGATTGATGTGAAACGTAGAAAGTGGTGGGAAGTAGAGCAAGTATGACATGACTCGGTTATGGGGAAAAAATATCAACCATAGAAGCTAGCCCCGAGTATACTCATTGAACTAAAGCGTGGAAAAAGCAAATCATAGCCAGTAGACACATGGCTTCGAAAGAAAACTTGGACAGATTGACGGAAGATAGAATAGGATAATATCAGAGTTTGAGAACTATTATTTTTTGTTGATGAACAAAGCCTTCTCAAATCTATAACCCCAAAATTTTCCTTCTCATAATTCATCATGTCATTGTTACCTTCAACTTTATCATGTATTTCTAGAAAGAAATACGATGTTTTCTTGAGTTTTAGAGGTGAAGATACCCTCAAAAACTTCACAGATCATCTCTATGATGCTCTAAATCGAAGTGGAATTATCACTTTCAGGGATGATCCAAAGATGGATGCCGGTGAAGAGATCGCACCACAACTCTTCCGAGCCATTCAACAATCGTGGTGCTCGGTAATTGTTTTTTCAGGAACCTATGCCTTTTCAAGTTGGTGCTTGGAGGAGCTTGCTGAGATTGTAAAACAAAAAAACGAGAAAGGACATAAAGTGTTTCCAATTTTCTACGATGTGAATCCATCTGATTTAAGAAAACAGAAAGAAAAAGTTGAAGAAGCATTTGCCAAACTTGCAGAGAGATACAAGGAAGATAAAGAAAAGATTCTAAGGTGGCGAAATGCTTTGACTCAAGTGGCTAACATCAAAGGATGGCATTTAAATAACAGGTAAACCATTCTTTTCTTTCCTGTTTTCTTGTTTAATTAATTTAATAATTATAAAAATGAACTGAATTTTATTTCTTTGCAGGCATGAATCCGAGTTTATCGGGAGATATTGTTAGAAAAATATCAGCAAAATTATGTCAGACATATCCAACTGTTCATGATGAGTTGGTTGGAATTAGTTCACGCTTGGAGGAGTTGTATTCCAAAATAGAGATTGGGGAAGATGACATCCGTATCATAGGAATTTGCGGAATGGGTGGCATCGGTAAAACAACTCTCGCAAGAGTTGTATACGACCAAATGTCATCTCATTTTGAAGGTAAATGCTTCATTGCTGACGTTCGAGAAGTTTCAGACAAAGTTGGACTCGTTTCTCTACAGAAGCAACTTCTTTTCCAGATCTTGTCTGCTGAAGTCTTCGAATTTTTCAATGTTCATGAAGGGAATGCCATAATTAGGCGCAGATTATCTAACAAAAAGGTCCTTGTTGTGATTGATGACGTGGATAATTTACAGCACTTGAAATGCTTGGTTGGAAGGCATGATTGGTTCGGTTTAGGGAGTAGAATCATCATAACAACAAGAGATGAACACTTGCTCCAATCTTACCGAGTTGATGATGCGTATAAGCCTTCAACATTGAATGACAGCGAGGCACTTCAACTTTTCAGTTTGAAAGCTTTTGATAGTGAGACAGCACCAAATGATGTTTTCATTGAGCTTTCTGAACATGTTGCAAAATATGCCAGTGGTCTCTCCTTAGCTCTTGAAGTCTTGGGTTCTTTCTTGTGCGGTAGAGATGTAGCTCAATGGAGAAGTGCAATCCAAAGACTTGAAAAGGATTCTAACAAAGAGATTATTGACAGACTTCGAATTAGCTTTGATGGATTGGAAGAAACGGAGAAGAACATATTTCTAGATATAGCATGCTTCTTCAATGGGGACGAGAAAGATTTTGTAATGAAAGTATTGGATGGCTGTGAGTTTTTCCCGGATATCGGAATCGATGTTCTCATTAAGAAGTCTCTACTAACAGTTGACGAAAACAACAAATTGTGGATGCACAACTTACTACAAGAAATGGGAAGAAGAATTGTTCGAGAAAAGTCTATTGAGGAGCCTGGAAAACGTTGTAGATTGTGGGAGGAACAGGATGTATATCATGTGCTAACGAAGAACACTGTAAGTCATTCCAGGGAAATTGCATATTTTATTAATGTTAAAGACAAATGATACACACAATGTAATTTTTCACAAGTTTTATCACAGAAATTGCCGCATTTTATTTTGTGTTTCTTATGTCTTACTTTTGAATGTTTTTAGGCTACGGAAGTGATTCAAGGCATGATCATTGACAATAAAAGGTAGCAAAACATACATAAACATGCATCCATGTGTAAATTTCATATTCGGTCAAAAGTGACCCTTAAAGTTTTATTATATCACTGTACTCAAATTACACTGTTCCTCATTGAGTTATACTCCCTTTCTTATTTTACTCATTGTACTTTTAGTTTTTCTAATTTATTTTGAAAATCCTTGAAGAATCATCTCTATGTTTCTATTCGGATGTGTGGGATAGAGTGCTTGACGGAGCATAGATAAATTAAGTGTTGGAGCAGCCTTGCTTTTAGGTATGGAATGCTTTGGGATATTTTCAAATTTGAACTGAGTTTTCGTTGTTTTACCCTTGGTTATCAGGATATCCAACAAGATGCTCAATTTGAATGTTAATGCTGTCTCGAAGATGAAAAAATTGAGATTGCTCAAAGTCCTTTGCCTCTCAAATTGTGATGAACTCAAATATCTTCCTAATGAGTTACGGCTCTTAGATTGGATGGGATATCCTTTAAGATTCTTACCTCCAAGCTTCCAACCAGACAACCTGGTTGCACTTCTGCTACCATACAGTCGCATTGAACAACTATGGAGGGGAAATATAGTAAGAACTAATTCATGCGACCCTTGTTTTCTAACTTATTTTAGGAATATTAACGAAATAATCTCTAATTTCTTATTATTTTCAGCAGCCCCTGTATAAGTTGAAAGTGCTCAACCTCAAAGGGTCCGAAAACCTGATCGAGACACCGGACTTTACAATAGCCCCAAATCTGGAAATTTTGATATTGGAAGGTTGTTCAAGAATAGTAGATGTTCATCCATCAGTCGGAGTTCTTTCGAGGCTTAAACTTTTGAATTTAAGAAGCTGCACAAGTCTTAGGAATCTTCCAACCAAAATTGGAATAGAATCTCTTGAAACATTAATCCTAAAAGATTGTAGAAACCTCATTAGTCTCCCAAGCAGCATTGGTGGGTGTAAATGTCTAAAAACTCTTGATCTTTCAGGTTGCTATAAAGTTGCAAATTTGCCGGAGAATTTGCAGCAAGTAGAGTTGTTGGAAGAGCTTGACTTAAGTGAAACAGCCATAGCAAAACCACCATCCTTCATTTTTCAACTTAAAAATCTTAAACTTTTGTCTTTGAGTAGGCTCAAGACACCATCATCTAAGTTAGCACCAAATCTACCTTCTCTTTTCCAGGTATTCCAAAGAGGACGGATCGAGTCTGTGCCTCTCATGTTACATTCACTGTCAGGTTTGATTTCGTTAAGAGAGCTGAAACTAAGGAACTGCAATCTTCGTGAAGGAGATATTCCAAGTGACATTCATTGTTTACCCTATTTGGAAAAGCTTGAGCTTGGTGGTAACAATTTCATCAGCGTACCTGTGTCTGTTATTAGATTTCCCAGTCTTCAATATCTTGGATTGTCAAATTGCAGGGAGCTCAAATCGTTTCCTAGTCTTGGTGCTTCTCTAGAACTATTTGCAACTCCATCAAATATTTGCAATGCAGTGGATTTGACACGGTTTAATGGTCTTCACTGCTACAAAATTGTTGAGAATATCAATGCATCAACAACGCTGAAAATCTATCTTAAGGTCGATTTATCATTCTTTGTATTTACAGAATCTCATTCTTGAAGAATTACAGTATTAGTTACCAAACAACATTTTATTTTGCAGATAGTTGCATGTTTAAGAAAAAGTTTTGATGTTGTTATGCCCGGAGGTGAAATCCCAAAATGGTTCAGCCATCAAACAGTTGGCTCTTCAATCAAGATACCATTGCCTAACAATATTCAGAATGATAGTCAATGGATCGGAGTTGCTTTCTGCTGCATTTTTGTCAATGATGATGCTTCAAGGGATGAGGAACTCACATGTGATGCTGTTATCCATCATAGGAATTCTGGACAAGCTGATTCTGATGGATCTGGTTTTCGGGGTAGAAATCCTCGACGTGTCTCAGGAGACGGCTGGATTTTTTCTAAAGAATATAACCAGCCCATAATAAAGGACCACCTTTATTGTTGTTTTTTGTTCCGTGACAGATTATATCCATTTTCCTTAGAGGATAAATGTGGTGAAAGTGAAACTGAGAATTCATCAACATTGGATTGCTCAAATCAGGAATTCGATGAACTCCAGTTTTCAGTCACATCCGATGATAGTCACATAAGTGTTAAGGTGAACAAATGTGGGCTTCAAATAGTTTATCAGAAAGATTTGGAAGATATCAATGAAGATTAATAGCTGAAGGTCCCCTTATAAAGTGAAGACATAATGTTTATGAGGAGACCGAGGTCGTGATTGCAGACCGTGAGTGCAGCATTATTGCTGCTATTATTGTAGCTGTTATTACTGCATGCATGCTTCATGCAGACTGCCATGCAGGGACAGTGTCACGGGCACATGTGGGGGAGTGCATGCAGGGGAGAGACGCATGGAGTGCAATGCGTCTTCGGGGGGAGGGGATAGACGCATGGAGTGCAATGCGTCTTTGGGGTGTACTGTAGCAATCACCCCATGTGATGAAATAATTCCGAGACAGCATTATTTTACGAAATAAAATTATCAGCAACATTATCTGTAAAAATCAGCCTACAAGAGAAATTAATGTTTTCTGAATATTTAGATTGCTACAGTACACCCCAAAGACGCATTGCACTCCATGCGTCTCTCCCATTTCCCCCCTAAGACATTGCACTCCATGCGTCTATCCCCTCCCCCCGAAGACGTATTGCACTCCATGCGTCTCTCCCCTGCATGCACTCCCCCACATGCGCCCGTGACACTGCCCCTGCATGGCAGTCTGCATGCATGCTGCATGGCAGTCTGCATGCATGCTGCATGGCAGTCTGCATGCATGCTGCATGCAGTAATAACAGCAGCAATAATAGCAACAATAATGCTAATGTTTTCTGAATATATAGATTGAATAAGATAAATGTCAAAGTTGGAGAACTATTTATTTTGAACTCTATCTCTAGTTGATGTACAGAGCCTTCTCAAGTACATTATTGCTTCCTCAGTCCTCACCATTGGTTTCCAGAATTTATATCCTTTTTGATCCAAGTGCCTTGATCTCACTCTTTGGTATCATTAACATGGCTTATTTCCTCTCACTTCTCTCAACTCTCTTCTTCCTCATAGTCTCATCTTCTTCTTCAAAACCCACCGAGTTCTTCTTCCCCGGATTCAGACACATAAGCGACCCCAACTACTTAACATTAACAGGGGTGTCACATATTGAACAAAATGGCATTTTACGCTTAACTAATTACACCCCTCGTTTAGTGGGTAAAGCTTTTTATAGCTCTGCATTTAGATTCAAGAACTCTAGTAATGGCCCATCCTTTTCATTTTCAACCTCGTTTGTTTTGGCCATAGTTCCCGAGTTTCGAAGGTTTGGTGGTCACGGCCTTGCTTTCACAATCACCACTTCTGTAGATCGCAGAGCACCTTCAAATCAGTATCTAGGAATCCTCAACGCGACCGATATGGGTAACTTCTCGAACCATCTTGTTGCAGTTGAGTTCGACACGGTTCAGGATTTTGAGTTTTGAGACATGGAAGACAATCATGTCGGTATTGACATAAACAGCTTGCACTCAAATGCTTCAGTCTCTGCCAGTTACTACACCCAAGGTGGTTCCACAAAACAAAAACCTACTCTCAAGAGTGGGAAACTAATCCAAGCTTGGATTGATTACGATTCAGTTGAGAACGTCATGAATGTAACGATTGCACCCACTTCTAAAAGACCGACATCTCCCCTCTTGTCTTTTCATTAAGATCTCTCGCCGTTTCTTCACGAGTTTATGTATGTTGGTTTCTCAGCTTCTACAGGCCATGTTCATGCCAACTCTCATTATATTTTAGGGTGGAGCTTTAAGATCAATGGACAAGCCAAGGCTCTTGATCTATCGTCGCTGCCTTCATTCCCTGGACCACAAAAAAAAATACAACATTAACAGTTGGTGTCTCAGTTTCATCTGCTGTTGTCATAATTGCTCTTTCCATTGCAGTTTATGTCATTATCAAAATCAAGAACACAGAAGTAGTTGAAGATTGGGTGCTGGAGATTGACATGGCGGTTTCGATCGAATTTACAAAGGAACACATGGAAATTCAAACACTCAAGTTGCTGTCAAGTGAGTTTCCCATGAATCAAAGCAAGGTTTACGTGAATTTGTTGCAGAAATTTCTAGTATCGGAAGGCTTCGACATCGGAATTTGGTTCAGCTATTGGGATGGTGCTGGAGAAGAGGCGACCTTCTTCTTGTTTACGATTTCATGGCTAATGGCAGTTTAGGTAAGTTTTTGTTTGATGACCCTATAACTATCCTTAATTGGGACCAAAGATTTAGGATCATAAAGGGTGTGGCTTCTGGTCTTCTCTATTTACATGAAGGATATGAACAAATTGTGATTCATAGGGATGTTAAGGCCAGTAATGTATTATTAGATGATGAGCTGAATGCACGGTTAGGAGATTTCAGCCTTGCAATATTGTATGGACATGGTTCAAATCCAGGGACAAGTCGAATTGTAGGCACAATGGGATATATAGCACCGGATCTGCCCAAGACAGGAAAGGCCACAACAAGCTCCGATGTCTATGCTTTTGGTGCACTCTTGCTCGAGGTTGCTTGTGGACGCAGGCCTATTGATCTCAATGGCCAATATTATGAAGGTGAGATGATGATGGTGCTTAAGTTAGGGCTAATTACTTCAGATGACGTGCCTGCGGCACTGGGTAACTCTTAACTTTGATTTGATTCTCATAATTGAAGTAATGCTTGTCAAATGTGGGACTTCATAATCAATGTTTAATTGACAAGTCTCCCTCTATCATTTTTCTTATACAAGAAGTTAATGTTCTCTTAATATATATAGATTGATTGAAGTGAAACGTAGAAAGTGATGGGAAGTAGAGCAAGTATGACATGACTCGGTTATGGGGGAAAAATATCAATCATAGAAGCTAGCCCCGAGTATACGCATTGAACTAAAGCGTGGAAAATGCAAATCATAGCCAGTAGCCACATGACTTCGAAAACTTGGACCAATTGACGGGGGATAGAATAGGATAATATCAGAGTTTGAGAACTATTATTTCTTGTTGATTAACAAAGCCTTCTCAAATACAAATCAATCTCAAATCTATAACCCAAAATTTTCCTTCTCATAATTCATCATGTCATTGTTACCTTCAACTTTATCATGTATTTCTAGAAAGAAATACGATGTTTTCTTGAGTTTTAGAGGTGAAGATACCCGCAAAAACTTCACAGATCATCTCTATGATGCTCTAAATCGAAGTGGAATTATCACTTTCAAGGATGATTCAAAGATGGATGCCGGTGAAGAGATCGCACCACAACTCTTCCGAGCCATTCAACAATCGTGGTGCTCGGTAATTGTTTTTTCAGGAACCTATGCCTTTTCAAGTTGGTGCTTGGAGGAGCTTGCTGAGATTGTTAAGCAAAAAAACGAGAAAGGACATAAAGTGTTTCCAATTTTCTACGATGTGAATCCATCTGATTTAAGAAAACAGAAAGAAAAAGTTGAAGAAGCATTTGCCAAACTTGCAGAGAGATACAAGGAAGATAAAGAAAAGATTCTAAGGTGGCGAAATGCTTTGACTCAAGTGGCTAACATCAAAGGATGGCATTTAAATAACAGGTAAACCATTCTTTTCTTTCCTGTTTTCTTGTTTAATTAATTTAATAATTATAAAAATGAACTGAATTTTATTTCTTTGTAGGCATGAATCAGAGTTTATCGGAGATATTGTTAGAAAAATATCAGCAAAATTATGTCAGACATATCCAATTGTTCATGATGAGTTGATTGGAATCAGTTCACGCTTGGAGGAGCTGTATTCAAAAATAGAGATTGGCGAAGATGACATCCGCATCATAGGAATTTGCGGAATGGGTGGCATCGGTAAAACAACTCTCGCAAGAGTTGTATACGACCAAATGTCATCTCATTTTGAAGGTAAATGCTTCATTGCTGACGTTCGAGAAGTTTCAGACAAATTTGGACTCGTTTCTCTACAGAAGCAACTTCTTTTCCAGATCTTGTCTGGTGAAGTCTTCGAATTTTTCAATGTTCATGAAGGGAATGCCATAATTAGGCGCAGATTATCTAACAAAAAGGTCCTTGTTGTGATTGATGATGTGGATAATTTACAGCACTTGAAATGCTTGGTTGGAAGGCATGATTGGTTCGGTTTAGGGAGTAGAATCATTATAACAACAAGAGATGAACACTTGCTCCAATCTTACCGAGTTGATGATGCGTATAAGCCTTCAACATTGAATGACAGCGAGGCACTTCAACTTTTCAGTTTGAAAGCTTTTGATAGTGAGACAGCACCAAATGATGTTTTCATTGAGCTTTCTGAACATGTTGCAAAATATGCCAGTGGTCTCCCCTTAGCTCTTGAAGTCTTGGGTTCTTTCTTGTGCGGTAGAGATGTAGCTCAATGGAGAAGTGCAATCCAAAGACTTGAAAAGGATTCTAACAAAGAGATTATTGACAGACTTCGAATTAGCTTTGATGGATTGGAAGAAACGGAGAAGAACATATTTCTAGATATAGCATGCTTCTTCAATGGGGACGAGAAAGATTTTGTAATGATAGTATTGGATGGCTGTGAGTTTTTCCCGGATATCGGAATCGATGTTCTCATTAAGAAGTCTCTACTAACAGTTGACGAAAACAACAAATTATGGATGCATAACTTACTACAAGAAATGGGAAGAAGAATTGTTCGGGAAAAATCTATTGAGGAGCCTGGAAAACGTTGTAGATTGTGGGAGGAAAAGGATGTATATCATGTGCTAACGAAGAACACTGTGAGTCATTCCAGGGAAATTGCATATTATATTAACGTTAAAGACATCAATGATACACACAATGTAATTTTTCACAAGTTTTATCACAGAAATTTCCTCATTCTATTTTGTGTTTCTTATGTCTTACTTTTGAATGTTTTTAGGCTACGGAAGCGATTGAAGGCATGATCATTGACAATAAAAGGTAGCAAAACATACATAAACATGCACCCATGTGTAAATTTCATATTCGGTCAAAAGTGACCCTTAAAGTTTTATTCTATCACTCCGTTCCTCGTTGAGTTATACTCTCTTTCTTATTTTACTCACTGTACTTTTAATTTTTCTAATTTATTTTGAAAATCCTTGAAGAATCATCTCTATGTTTCTATTCGGATGTGTGGGATACGAGTGGTTGACGGAGCATAGACAAATTAAGTTTTGGAGCAGCCTTGCTTTTAGGTATGGAATGCTTTGGGATATTTTCAAATTTGAACTGAATTTTCGTTGTTTTACCCTTGGTTATCAGGATATCCAACAAGATGCTCAATTTGAATGTTAATGCTGTCTCGAAGATGAAAAAATTGAGATTGCTCAAAGTCCTTTGCCTCTCAAATTGTGATGAACTCAAATATCTTCCTAATGCGTTACGACTGTTAGATTGGATGGGATATCTGTCATAACCATTTTTTTTGTAAAATAATTAAATATTATTTTAAAAACGATTATGACTTTAATTTAGAAAAATTGGGGAATTTGGAATTAATTTGAATTAAATTGAAAATAGAGTCGCCATCGACCTTTGGGTTAGGTAGGTCAAATACCTAAAAACGTCTTTTAACAATTTTAAGAAAAATCATTTTTTAAGACAAAATTAAGTCTGCGTCACCAAAGATTAGATTAAATGGATTCGGGAGTCGGTTACGTGTGGGGAAGGAATAACACCCCACAACGCCCAAAAACTGGTACTGTGTCGCTTACACATTGTCGTAAATGATGGAAATGATAAATCGAATATAAAATTAACCTATGATCCATTTATTGAGATTTATTTAATTTGCCTCGAATTATTTAAAGAAAATCCTTTAACTCAATCAGAAATCTTGAAATTTGCAATCCTCCGTCGGGAAAGCTATTTCAACTATTTCTCATTCGTAAAAGAATATTCTACCATTGATTATGTTAAAAATACAAATCGAATATAATTAAAAACAATGTTTACATACGAATAAATTGATTAACTAAAAACGTGAATTGAATACAAATTAAAAATTTTGAAATTTACATTCACATAAAATAAAGTAAATTGTCATTTAAAATAACACACATTGCATCGTTTGAATAAATTAATTAGTAAAATATACTCGACTTGTTGCAAGTTCCTATGTCGTTAAAATGCCGTATCGGATCGTACCACTTCGACCAAGTGGTACTTTCCACGCCCATTCTACGCATACGTGTTCTTGAAAATATAATCGAATATTTCTTACATAGATAAAGATATAATGAAAATAAATGTAATTGGAAATACAAAATAAAATATTTGCATTAAATGAAATTGAAAACATTATTTACATAATCCAAATAATTAACTAATGAGTAAAATACACATCCATACATAAATGACTAAAATAAATTAGTAAATATTACAAACCAAAATAAATATAAAACATTTAAGGGGCTAAAATAATATAAACAGAAACTTAGGAGGCTAAACAGCAAAAAACAGAAAGTTAATGGACCAAAATAGCACTAACCGAAATTTAAAGGACTAAATAGAAAATAAAAATAATTTAGAGCCCATATCACAAACATTAAACAATCAAATACTAGAAGTGAAAATAACCCAAAAGTAAAGCTTATGACTAAATTGAAATTTCACAGAAACATGGAGGATCAAAAGGTAATTAAATAAAATGTCAGACAGTGACCAAAATAGAACATTTGCAAATATGATGGCTAAATTCAAACGTCCACAAAATATCACAACACAAGAACTTAGGACTAAAATGAAACTATTACAAACATAATGTCCAAAATTCATCATAACAAAAATATCGTAATCATACAATTATAGGACTAAAATATAAGTTCTAAAAATGAATGCTCGAAATCGAAATAAAATAAATTTCATTCACTGACTATATAATGCGGTTACAAAGGATAAGGGACCAAAAGTGAGGTTTACCCCTTAATATGAAAACACGGAAACCCCTTTGGCTTAAACGACGCCGTTCTGGTCCGCGCATAAATGACCAAAATCAGGCCAAAATTCAGTCTATGCCTCATTTCTTTCATTGCTTAAAAACAGAGAGAGGGAGAGAGAGAAAACTCTCTCAACCTTCTCACCGGAGAAGAGATTCGTCCACCGCCGGCTACGCCCGCGGCGGTGCTCGCGGCGGCGAACGGTGGCCGGAGATGGAGAAAACCCTCCAAAACCTTCCTCTCTTCACTCTCCACCTAGATCCCCAACTATCTCGACCTAAAGGTAACCCTAGCTCTCTAAATCTGAGAGTTTTACCTTCGAAAGTTTTGACAACCGACGACTGTCGGGCTTCTCGACCTCCAAACCGTGGTGAGATCCTCTCCTCTTCTCTCTTTTTTCTTTTTTATGCTTTGATTTTTTTCTTTTCTTCTGTTTCGTTTTTTTTTTTAAAAAAAAAACCGAATGCCCCTTCACTTTGGTTCTATATCTTTCTTTTATCCTCTGCCTCCGATTGCTGATGGCTGTCCTTGCATGTTTTATATGATTTTCTTACTGCCATCGAGAAAGAAATAGGGTATGAATACCCTATTTCGGCTAGATTGATAACCCCCGATTGCCTCGGGATTTCTAGTCGTTCTTTATATTTTCATTCCTTATTTTTATCTGCTTTTTCTGATTGATTTGGTACTTGATGGATATACATTACTGTGGGCGATGGACGTGGCTTGAGAGGGCTCGACAGTGGCTTGACAGCAATCGATGACGGCTCACGTGACTCGGGAAATTGGAAGGCCAATAAGCGGCGGCAGCTGAACTGGAAGAAAATTAGGGTTGAAACCCTAATCTGGACTATTTGGACCGTTGGATCAAATCTGATCCAACGGTCATGGAGAGATGCGGCTGAAACAAAAGGGTAAAACCCTAATTTATTTGGGTTGTCCAAATGGGCTTGGGTTGACTGCTGGACTTGTAACCGGGTTGGGTCCAATATTGGGCTTCAAGTGTTGTCTTTGTGGGCTCCGGGAATTGGCCTGCAAAATGCAAACATATATTAAATAATAATAATAATAATAATATAGTTAATAATAATAATAATAATATTAAAATTAAATATAAAAGACCCGGACAAAAACGGGTGTCTACAGCTGCCCCTCTTTGCACATTCTTGTGTTAACAAGAATAGGGCAAAGATGACAAGACAACACGTTTTTGTCTGGTTCTCTCCCTTTTAAACTTATAAATTGGATAATGTTGGTTGTTGGGGACGACACTGCTCATACGTGATGAAGAGTTCGGGCCATCTTTAGGAAGGGTGATAACTCGGTTCCTACGTGATGAGGACGGCTGGTTAACTGTGGTTGACACGGCTCCTACGTGATGAAGAGATCTGGTCGGGGAATGACATGGCTCATACGTGATGAAGAGTTCTGGCCATCTAAAGGTGATAACACGGTTCCTACGTGATGAGGACGGCTGGTTATCTATGGTTGACACGGCTCCTACGTGATGAAGAGATCTGGTCGGGGAATGACATGGCTCATACGTGATGAAGACGGCTGGCCATCTTTAGGAGTTATGGTTTCAAGAGAAACCAAATTAAAGATTTGTTTCAAAAGAAACAAACCCAAAGATTTGTTTCAAGAAAAATAAACTCGAAGATGATGTTTTTAAAAGCAACTGTCTCAAAAGAGACAAAATTCGTTTAAAGGGAATTGATCTCAAAGATCAGTGTTTCGAGAGAAACAAACTCAAAGATGTTTTTGTTTCAAGAAAAACATACTCAAAGACTTTGTTTGTTTTGTTTCAAGGGAAACAGATTCAAATGATGGTAAAATTTGTTTCCAAAGAAACAAACTCAAAGATTTTTCTCAAAGAAACTGTCTCGAGAGACACAAAATTTTGTTTCCAAAGAAAGAGATTCAATGATTTTTGATTTTTTTTTTTTTTTTGAAAAGACATTGTCATAAGAGACAAAACTTTATTTTTCAGAAAATGGTATCTTAGTGAGACAAAATTTTGTTTCCAAAGAAATATACTCAAAGATTTTTCTTCAAAAGAAATTGTTTTAAGGGATAAAACATTGTTTCCAGAGAAACAAGCTCAAAGATGATCTTGTTTTAAGAGAAAATGCTTCAATAGAAAATGTTTCAAGGTGGAAACGACTCAAAGATAGTTTTATTTTAAGAGAAACAAACTTAAAGATTTTGTATTTCTAGAAAAAAAAATTGTCTCAAGGGATACAAAATTTGTTTTAATAGAAACAATCTCAAAGATGGGTATTTTCAAAAGAAGTTGTCTCAAGAGACAAAATTTTGTTTCAAAGGAAACAAACTTAAAAAAAAATTTCTCAAAAGAAATTGTCTTTAAGAGATAAAATTTTGTTTCAAAAGAAACAGACTCAAAGATGGATCACATCTTAAGTGAGACCAAATTTGTTTCAAATGAAATAATCTCAAAAGTTAGTTTTTCATTAGAAACTGTCTCAAGAGACAACATTTGTTTTTAAAGAAATAGACTCAAAGATGATTTTGTTAAGAGAAACAAACTCAAAGATTTTCAAAATGAACATATTCAAAGATTTACTTCAAGAGAAACTGTCTCAAGAGATACAAAATTCATTTTAAGAGAAACAGATTCAAAGATTTTTTTCAAAAGAAATTATCTTAAGAGAGACAAAATTTTGTTTCCAAAGAAACAAACTCAAAGATTTTTGTTTCAAAAGAAATTATCTTAAGAGAGACAAAATTTTGTTTCCAAAGAAACAAACTCAAAGATTTTTGTTTCAAAAGAAATTATCTTAAGAGAGACAAAATTTTGTTTCCAAAGAAACAAACTCAAAGATTTTTGTTTCAAAAGAAATTATCTTAAAGATTTTTTTTCACAAAATTGTCTCAAGAGAGACAAAACTTTGTTTCAAAGTAAATAGACTCAAAGATTTTTTTCAAACGAAACAACTCACAGATTTTTATTCCAAAGGAACAAACTCCAAGATTTTTATTCAAAAGGAACAAACTCAAAGATTTTTTTCAAGAGGAACAAACTCAAAGATTTTTCCTCAAAAGAAATTGTCTTTAAGAGATAAAAAAATCGTTTTAAAAGATTCAAATATTGTCGATTTTGTTTATATGGAAATAATCTCAAAGGTGTTTTCAAAAGTGTTTATTTTGTTTCAAATGAAACAATTTCAGGATTTGTTAAAAGGGGAAACTGTCTCGTACGAGACAAATCAGCTTTGAAAATCTCAAGTGATATTAATTTTGCTTTAAGTACAACAACCTTGAAATTTGTATTATGAGAGAAAATGATGTCTCAAGCGAGACGAAATTTGCTTTAAGATATAGTCTCAAATGAGACAAAATTTGTTTTTAGAGAAATTGTCTCAAGCGAGACAAAGTTTGTTTTTGAGAAAACGATCTCAAGTGAGATCAACTTTGTTTAATGTGAAACAAATTCGAAATTTAGATCTCAAAGGGATAAGGTCTCAAGCGAGACGAAATTTGTTTTGAAAGAAACAACAATCTAAGGTGAGATTAATTTTGTTTTTAGTGAATCAAATTCAAAATTTGTATCTCAAAGGAAAAATGTCTCAAACGAGACGCAATTTGTTTTAAAATTCTCAAAATTTGTGGAAAAATGTCTCAATCGAGACACAATTTGTTTTAAAGAGAAAGTTGTCTCAAGCGAGACAAAATAAAATTTGTTTTTAAGAAAACTATCTCTAGTGAGACGCCACTTTATTTATTAATAAGATAATCTCAAGAGCTCATAGTCTGTCTATTGATTCCTGCATGTTGAGGAAACGTCTTCAGAAGATCTGATTGTTGACTTCAGGAAACCAAATATGTGGATTGCATTGTTCTTTCAAGTTGAAAACATCTGGTTATTTCCGAGCTCTTATTTCCTGAAAAGATCAGAATGATGCATTTTTGACTAACTATCTTGGATGTTATGATAGATGTCAATATGAAATTTATTTGATTGATTTTTTATTGAATTTGTCCTCCAGCGAGGAGAAAAATGTCTTTAATACACATGATGATAAATGTTTGATGCAAATTTATGTATCATGTATGTATGTGTATGTATGTATATATGTATGTATGTGTTGATGTATGTTTTCTCAATCTGGAAGGAGAATTGTTGCGAGAGCAGTCTTCACTCTATCATTGATTCAATTTGTCTGTATTTCCACCAATGTGTACTCTTACAAACCTTGACCTGACACCATTTGTTTATTCCATCAAATTTTGCCCTAAAATTTAGCTTCTCTTGCCCCAGCTTCGATCTTGAGCTTCAGATAGATATTTTTTGAATTCCAAGATATGCTTCCAGAGAGATTATCTTGTTTAAAAGTGTTTTTCTTCTTCTTTTATTTTCAAAAGTCTGGCAATATCAATAGTTTTGAAAAATGTTTGAAAATGTTTTTCTTCTTCTTTTATTTTCAAAAGTCTGACAATATCAATAGTTTTGAAAAATGTTTAATCAAAAGATTTGAAAACATTGCCCCTTTTAAGGTTTCACAATTGACAAATCATAGAACAAGAGTTCATTGGATATCAAAGAATTAATTACACTTTTAATCCTCCAATAAATTATAGCTATTTGACAAGTGTCAAGATCAACGCTATCTTTGAGAGATGGTTAAGTAAGGGAGGATAAAAAAGTCTCAAGTGGTTATTTTTGGTCAAAAGTATAGTGTTCTCATTTATTTGATGTTCTCTGATCTGATGGAGTAGCTTCTGTACTCAGTTATTGGAAGTGTGCTCTGACTCCCAACTCGCATGTTCTCATTCATGTTGTGTGATGCCTCATCAAGGGATTTGAGCAATCGTCTCCTATGTAATAATCTTCATATTCGAGCCGCCCTTTCAGGTTTTCAACTCGAATCCTCCTTTGGTTTCAAGACGTTACTCAGAATTTTACGTCTTTAACCCCCCTTTGTTATTTTTCTCTATTATGCATTAAAGATTTTAGAAAACCTTTATAAGTAAAATATTAATCCTGATAGGCGGGGTGAAATATGAGGATAGTCTCTTCCGCTTAGAAATCCATGTATGATTAGAAGGGACTTGTAAGGCACGTAATGTAGGCCATGGTTCAGGGTTATGAAAGAAAGGGATAAAAGGCCCAAACATGTGTTTTAAGGGTATTTGAACCAAGGATCAATTAACTCTGATGCCTTCAATCTTGTCTTGCTCCATTTGAATATGCTCGTATGGGTCCTTTGTCTTCTCTTGATGTTCTATGATCTTCTGGTGAACTAATTCTGGATCAATCTCATAGTTTGAAACTTGATGTGCCATTTGAGTCAGGAGACTCTTTGTCTGTGTTCTTTGTCCTCTTTTTGTTCTTTGCTTTTTCTTTGCTTTTTGCTTTGATTTTTCTCTTTGCTCTTTGTTTTTTCTTTGGTTTGATCTTTGCACTCTGCGTCTGGTTCACCTTTCGGTATCTCATTTGGATCAATTTTCTTCACTCAGATTTCCTTCACATTGCCCCCCAGTGTGGAGGGTGATCCTTGGTTAGGGTTGAATCAAAAGAAAATATCATTCAGGCTCAAAGGGGACACAAGGGATATATTTTCTCCTTTTGTGAAGGGATAAAGAAAGAAAGTCGTTCATCATCTCATACACAGCAGTCCTTGCAGAAGAGGTATCCCCAGGGGGATAGATTTTCAGGATTAATTTTTATTTAAATGAAAACAGTAATTAATGCATGATAGAATTATTTTGAATGAATTCCATTTTTATCTCTTCGCTTCTTGCTCTCAACATGTCTCAATTGCTTATGCTCGTCTTCAGAAAATTGATGCGAGATGCCCCCACACTGTGTCTTCTTTGTAGGAAGGTTTATGTTCAAGTGAACATCTTGTACTCAATGTCTGTAGGTTTTATTGGTAGAAAATGTTGGTTCTACGTCTAAGAAGACGATGATGACTTTATTGGCTCAAAGAAAGGTATGGGTATGACTTTTGTGTCTCAAAAAATAAATACAGTGTTTCAAGGTGGAAAGAATATTTCAAGGTCTCAAAGAGAGGGAATGTTTCAAGGTCGAAAAAAATATTTCAAGGTCTCAAAGAGATAGAATGCCAAAAATTGGTTATTTGGTAGTGACCAGGAATTATTTCGGGTAAAAAAAATCGAGAGATTTTATTTTGGGTTTTAGACAGGATAAAAAAAGGTCTAATCTTGCAATATGTCAAAAATCTATAATTCTTGAAGAATTAAAAGAATATGTAATTCATTCGATATTCAAAGAACTAAAAATTAAAATTTGTTCAATTATTTAACCTTAGAAGGTAGCATCATTTCAGTCATCAAAGATTAAAATATTTAAGCAAATATTGAAGAAAGAACAAAAACGAGTCCAAACAAAACAATCTCTATGGATGCAAGTGGTTGATGCAATGACTTCTCTGGCTTAGTATTAGGATACCCCTGAATAAATCATATTATGGATTTTGTGCTTTAGTGTCTTGCAGTTCTCGGTGGAATGTCTGGAGCTTCTTAGATGGAAATTGTGCACTGGATCAACATCGTAGACCTCAGGGAACGATGACTCTTTTCGAACCATCCTGGAAGACTCAATCGAACAAGCTTCTATCGTGTTGATTTCAGCTTCTTGTTTATATTCTCAATATGGTCACGTGATCAGGATTACTTCCACTGACTTCTCCACAAATTGATCTCATGTTTTTATGAATGATGCATATGAAAATGCTTAAAAATATATATATATATGCAAAATAAAAAAAATGCAAATGCAGATGGAAAAATGTTGACCCCAACGATGAATATCCTAGAATAGTCTTCACCAGAAATAAAAGTTTTCACATTACAAGACAATCCAATTTACAAACATGTCTTCGCTTAGATGGTGAGCCTGGAATGGATCACTGCTTCATATCGGATCTTCGTCCTTAATAATGATGCCCCTCAAGCGCTCTGTAATCTGACTCCGTTAATGCCTCGGTGGTAATGAGGTCGGTGTGTCGCTCTTTGATAACTAGCGATGAAATGATTGTAGATAAGACTCCACTGCTAGATTACTCCTTGAATCAGTGGATCATCATCTCAGTATTGAATGATGCACGATCTTCGAGCTCACTGCTTCGTCTCGGATCTTTGTACTTAGAACCGATGCCCCTCAATGCTCTGTAAACTAACTCCATCAATACCTCGGCTATGCTGAAGTTTGTGCTTCACTCCCTGATGGTTAACGATGGAATAATTGTGGATGAGAATCTACTGCTGGATTACTCCTTAGATCAGTGGATTATCATATCAGTCTCGAATGATGCACGATCTTCGAGAAAATCTCATTCTTGTACTCTGGACTTCTTTTTAGCCCTCGATGCATGTCTGTGTATGCGATCGCTTGATTGAAAACTTTTATCTCTTCTTGTGAAAATTTTCTCTCGAATATCCCCTTACGGATCAACACTTTTGCATTATGATGATGCAATGCAATGCAATGCAAATGACAAAATGACACAAACAAAAGAGAAGAAATAAGTTAGTATACACAAACAAAAGAGAAAAATAAGTTAGTACATGTAAAATAATTGATACAAATAAAAATGTAATTCAGAGATGGATATAACACCTACCCCGTCATGATATCTACCCAAACATGCTTTCAATTAAATAACAATCCTACCCGGACATGCTATCTACCCAAAATGATCTATTTTCAAGAAATTGGTCCTAACTGCATGGTATCTAGTTCGCATGCTTTATCCGGAAAAAAAAAATATTCTACAAATTTAAAAGGTTAAGGTTTAGAATCGTTCCTCCTTCGTGTACACCTATTTTGGGTACCTACTAACGGACAAAGGTTCGGTACGACTATACCTAGGGTGATCGTTCGACGATTCACTATATGCTTGGTTTCGGCTCTAACGGAAAAAAGGGACTCGAATTGTCCTTGATGTCGGTGCCCCCTTGGGCTGCCAGACCCTCGATCCTCACCCATTACAGGTTTCAAACGGAACGAGTTCAATTCGAGGGGATTCACTGTCTTATACCCGTACGAGGAATAAATCCCTACGAAGGTATAAGGTATGTATCCCATGGGTTATTTGCTAAAACTCATACGAAGAATAAATTCTTACGAGAGTGAAGCATTCACCCCAACTAATTTGGATCGAAGCTCGTGTCTAAGCTTATGTTATGCCAATGCGAGTGATGTGTGTGAGGAGGAACATACCTACCTTCGACCCAAAAGGAAAACAAAACAAGGAAAAATGATAAAATCCTGACAAAGCTGAAAGCCAAAAATAAAATGTTAGTATGACAAAAAACGAAGCAATTAAAATTTCAATAAACGGATCATAAATTAACTAAAAACTAGAAATCATAATTTCCACCAAGATGACAATATGTAAACGACATACAGCCTGACTCTCAAAAAAAAGAGTCCCCAGCGGAGTCGCCAAGCTGTCATAACCATTTTTTTTGTAAAATAATTAAATATTATTTTAAAAACGATTATGACTTTAATTTAGAAAAATTGGGGAATTTGGAATTAATTTGAATTAAATTGAAAATAGAGTCGCCATCGACCTTTGGGTTAGGTAGGTCAAATACCTAAAAACGTCTTTTAACAATTTTAAGAAAAATCATTTTTTAAGACAAAATTAAGTCTGCGTCACCAAAGATTCGATTAAATGGATTCGGGAGTCGGTTACGTGTGGGGAAGGAATAACACCCCACAACGCCCAAAAACTGGTACTGTGTCGCTTACACATTGTCGTAAATGATGGAAATGATAAATCGAATATAAAATTAACCTATGATCCATTTATTGAGATTTATTTAATTTGCCTCGAATTATTTAAAGAAAATCCTTTAACTCAATCAGAAATCTTGAAATTTGCAATCCTCCGTCGGGAAAGCTATTTCAACTATTTCTCATTCGTAAAAGAATATTCTACCATTGATTATGTTAAAAATACAAATCGAATATAATTAAAAACAATGTTTACATACGAATAAATTGATTAACTAAAAACGTGAATTGAATACAAATTAAAAATTTTGAAATTTACATTCACATAAAATAAAGTAAATTGTCATTTAAAATAACACACATTGCATCGTTTGAATAAATTAATTAGTAAAATATACTCGACTTGTTGCAAGTTCCTATGTCGTTAAAATGCCGTATCGGATCGTACCACTTCGACCAAGTGGTACTTTCCACGCCCATTCTACGCATACGTGTTCTTGAAAATATAATCGAATATTTCTTACATAGATAAAGATATAATGAAAATAAATGTAATTGGAAATACAAAATAAAATATTTGCATTAAATGAAATTGAAAACATTATTTACATAATCCAAATAATTAACTAATGAGTAAAATACACATCCATACATAAATGTCTAAAAATAAATTAGTAAATATTACAAACCAAAATAAATATAAAACATTTAAGGGGCTAAAATAATATAAACAGAAACTTAGGAGGCTAAACAGCAAAAAACAGAAAGTTAATGGACCAAAATAGCACTAACCGAAATTTAAAGGACTAAATAGAAAATAAAAATAATTTAGAGCCCATATCACAAACATTAAACAATCAAATACTAGAAGTGAAAATAACCCAAAAGTAAAGCTTATGACTAAATTGAAATTTCACAGAAACATGGAGGATCAAAAGGTAATTAAATAAAATGTCAGACAGTGACCAAAATAGAACATTTGCAAATATGATGGCTAAATTCAAACGTCCACAAAATATCACAACACAAGAACTTAGGACTAAAATGAAACTATTACAAACATAATGTCCAAAATTCATCATAACAAAAATATCGTAATCATACAATTATAGGACTAAAATATAAGTTCTAAAAATGAATGCTCGAAATCGAAATAAAATAAATTTCATTCACTGACTATATAATGCGGTTACAAAGGATAAGGGACCAAAAGTGAGGTTTACCCCTTAATATGAAAACACGGAAACCCCTTTGGCTTAAACGACGCCGTTCTGGTCCGCGCATAAATGACCAAAATCAGGCCAAAATTCAGTCTATGCCTCATTTCTTTCATTGCTTAAAAACAGAGAGAGGGAGAGAGAGAAAACTCTCTCAACCTTCTCACCGGAGAAGAGATTTGTCCACCGCCGGCTACGCCCGCGGCGGTGCTCGCGGCGGTGAACGGTGGCCGGAGATGGAGAAAACCCTCCAAAACCTTCCTCTCTTCACTCTCCACCTAGATCCCCAACTATCTCGACCTAAAGGTAACCCTAGCTCTCTAAATCTGAGAGTTTTACCTTCGAAAGTTTTGACAACCGACGACTGTCGGGCTTCTCGACCTCCAAACCGTGGTGAGATCCTCTCCTCTTCTCTCTTTTTTCTTTTTTATGCTTTGATTTTTTTCTTTTCTTCTGTTTCGTTTTTTTTTTAAAAAAAAAACCGAATGCCCCTTCACTTTGGTTCTATATCTTTCTTTATCCTCTGCCTCCGATTGCTGATGGCTGTCCTTGCATGTTTTATATGATTTTCTTACTGCCATCGAGAAAGAAATAGGGTATGAATACCCTATTTCGGCTAGATTGATAACCCCCGATTGCCTCGGGATTTCTAGTCGTTCTTTATATTTTCATTCCTTATTTTTATCTGCTTTTTCTGATTGATTTGGTACTTGATGGATATACATTACTGTGGGCGATGGACGTGGCTTGAGAGGGCTCGACAGTGGCTTGACAGCAATCGATGACGGCTCACGTGACTCGGGAAATTGGAAGGCCAATAAGCGGCGGCAGCTGAACTGGAAGAAAATTAGGGTTGAAACCCTAATCTGGACTATTTGGACCGTTGGATCAAATCTGATCCAACGGTCATGGAGAGATGCGGCTGAAACAAAAGGGTAAAACCCTAATTTATTTGGGTTGTCCAAATGGGCTTGGGTTGACTGCTGGACTTGTAACCGGGTTGGGTCCAATATTGGGCTTCAAGTGTTGTCTTTGTGGGCTCCGGGAATTGGCCTGCAAAATGCAAACATATATTAAATAATAATAATAATAATAATATAGTTAATAATAATAATAATAATATTAAAATTAAATATAAAAGACCCGGACAAAAACGGGTGTCTACAATATCCTTTAAGATTCTTACCTCCAAGCTTCCAACCAGACAACCTGGTTGCACTTCTTCTACCATACAGTCGCATTGAACAACTATGGAGGGGAAATATAGTAAGAACTAATTCATATGATCATTGTTTTTTAACTTATTTTAGGAATATTAACTAAATCTTCTCTAATTTATTATTATTTTCAGCAGCCCCTGTATAAGTTGAAAGTGCTCAACCTCAAAGGGTCCGAAAACCTGATCAAGACACCGGACTTTACAACAGCCCCAAATCTGGAAATTTTGATATTGGAAGGTTGTTCAAGAATAGTAGATGTTCATCCATCAGTCGGAGTTCTTTCGAGGCTTAAACTTTTGAATTTAAGAAGCTGCACAAGTCTTAGGAATCTTCCAACCAAAATTGGAATAGAATCTCTTGAAACATTAATCCTAAAAGATTGTAGAAACCTTATTAGTCTCCCAAGGAGCATAGGTGGGTGTAAATGTCTAAAAACTCTCGATCTTTCTGGCTGTTATAAAGTTGAAAATTTGCCAGAGAATTTGCAGCAAGTAGAGTTGTTGGAAGAGCTCGACTTAAGTGAAACAGCCATAGCAAAACCACCATCCTTCATTTTTCAACTTAAAAATCTTAAAGTTTTGTCATTGAATAGGCTCAAGGGACCATCATCTAAGATAGCACCAAATCTAGCTTCTCTTTTCCAGCTATTCCAAAGGATAGAGTCTGTGCCTCTGATGTTACATTCATTGTCAGGTTTGAGATCATTAAGAGAGCTGAAACTAAGGAACTGCAATTTACATGATGGAGATATTCCTAGTGATATTTCTTGTTTATCCTCTCTGGAAAAACTTGACCTTGGCGGAAACAGTTTCATCAGCATACCTGTGATTGGTACTGGACTTTCCAGGCTTCAATATCTTGGATTGTCAAATTGCAGGGAGCTTAAATCGTTTCCTAAACCTGGTGCTTCTCGAGAACTATTTGCAGCTCCATCAAAGGATTGGATACAGTTTTCTAGCCTTCACTGCTACAGATTGGCTGAGAATATCAATGCATTAACAATGCTGAAAACCCGTCTTAAGGTCGATTTATCATTCTTTCGTATTTACAGAATCTCGTTTTTAAGAATTATATTCTTAGTTACCAAGCAACATAAGTTTTATTTTGCAGAATATTGCACATTTAAAAAAAAGTTTTGATGGTGTTGCACCAGGAGGTGAAATACCAAAATGGTTCAGCCATCAAACAGTTGACTCTTCAATCAAGATACCACTGCCTAACAATATTCAGAATGATAGTCAATGGATCGGAGTTGCTTTCTGCTGCATTTTTGTCAACGATGATGCTTCAAGGGATGAGGAACTCACATGTGAAGCTGTTATCCATCATAGGAATTCCAGAAAAGATGGTTCTGATGGATCTGTTTGTCGAAGTAGAAATCCTCGAAGTGTCACAGGGTGCGCCTGGATTTTTTCTGAAAAATACAACCAGCCCATAATAAAGGATCACATTTATTTCTGTTATTTTTCGCGTGAGAAATTATATCCATTTTCCTTGGAGGATAAATGTGGTGAAAGTG